CGCCCCGCCCCGCCCCGCCCCGCCTCGCGCAATAACGCTCCTCCTTCGTTGCCCCTGGTTGCCGTTTGTTGACTTCCGGTAACGCGGTAGTCGCAAATGTCGGGAGTGTCGCCATGGGGGGCAGAGGGGCTTCCGCGGCCCAAGTTGGGGCTGAGGTGCTGCCTTAGGCCTAACCGAGTCTCTCCCGCCGTCTTTCCGGCCCAGACGAACCCACCTCGTTTCGCCCTCGGCATGGGGGAACCTGAGGAGGTGGTGCCCGGTGAGTCGCGTCCGCTGAGGTGGCAGCGGGCCCAGAGGGAGGGTCTGCGGGAGGGCTGGCGGCTAGGCCCCGCCTCCGGGCCAGCCCCGTCGAGGGACAGGCCAGGGCCGCGGTCGCCAGACTGGGGCCGTAGCTCTGGCCGCGCGCCCCGGGAATGATCGAAGGGAGAAGAAAAGAGGGGAGGGACCTGAGAGGAAACAAGGAGGAAGAAGGTGCTTGCCTTTTTGTTGTTGTTTTTAAATGAACTTTTGATGAGTTTCTCGAAAGTTGGGCTGTTTTTACCTCTCTATAAACTTTCCAAAGTACCTTTTTCGAGGTCCCCAGGATCCAGTTATATATTGAATGCAGTTAAGAGTGGGTGGTGAGGGGACGTGAGGTAAAATGGGGATAAAGACTTGAGGAAAAAGAGGAGGCGGGAGTAAAGCGGGAGCCATTAGAGTGGTTTTTTAAGACTTCTTTTTCCCTGAGTCCCAGAATACATTTGACATTGTGAAGTCATACGTACGTTACTGCATACATACTGTTTAACAGAAATAGACGTTTCATAAAGCACTTGAGATGCGCTCAGAGATTTTCTATAATACATTACTTTAAAAATGGTCATCGTGTTTCACCAAATTGATTTTCTGACCCATTAATGCGTTATGACTAAGAGTTTGAAAAAAAAAAACTGGATTAGAGCAGAATCATTCATTCACAGAAATAAGTATTCTGCCTTCTGCCATGCTCTTGGTTCTAACAGATTCCTGCCCTCCTTGGGTTCACAGCTTAGTGAAGGATACAAGAAAGTAAACAAAATGACAATACCCGAACCATTTGACAGTAGCCAGGAGGCCAGAGGAGAGCTACCAAACCCTGATTTGGGTGAGGGTATCAGGGAAGGTTTGCTGGGGAGCCAGAGCAGGACAAAACAGTTAAAATTATTCATTCTAGGGAAATCCAGAGACTGCTCTAGAACCTCACCTCCCAAATCTAAATTATCAGAACTGAGACGCCTCACAGTTGTTCTCAAAAGGTTCTCCATGTGGCTAATCTCATGCATTAACGTTTATTATTAATACTCATGTTCACGATGTTTTCCTTTCTGGTACCCATTAGTTTCTTTACGTGTGATCCTTTTCCTTGATATTTCTTCAAAAAGTGAATCTGGCTTCCTATTTGGGGGGTGTGTGTGTGTATTTAAATGATTATCAGGAACTGGTAGGGGTTTGGGGTTTCCAAAATGGTACTGGACCAAACCCCCTGCATCCTGGTGATGCTAATGATGAAACTCAATACTGTCCTGTTTCTGTGTGTGGAGAAAAGTCCCCAGTGGGGGGCTAGGCCATGAGATGTTTACCAGTGTGAGTAGGGCACCAATTGTATCAGCTCATTTAAGGGAACAGATATTTCACCTGGTAATATAGCAAGACTATTAGTAATTGACTGCCCTCCTTGTGATAATGTATTTCTTATTTTGCACGAGTAACTGAATAATACATATTTAATTTAGTAGATTTCATAAATAAAATTGGAATGAAGTCTGAGGAATAAGACTGAATTAAGGTGGAAAAAGGAGGGCTTAAACAGTTCTACAGTGGAGGCAAAGCTGTCATGAGAAGGACTCAGAATAGATAAATTACTAAAAAAAATATTTTAGTAACAGACAACATAGTAAAAGTTGTAAAATAGAACCTATCATATTTTTGCAGATTCGGGTGCTGTGTTTACATTTGGAAAAACTAAATTTGCTGAAAATATTCCCAGCAAATTCTGGTTTAAAAATGATATCCCTACATATCTTGCATGTGGAGATGAACATACTGCTATTATTACAGGTTAGTATTAAAATCCTAAATGAGGATAATAATACTTAGAAAAATCTAAATATTATAGATGTGCTGTGTTTTAAACATATTGAAAATAGTGTTTTTTTATTTTGCCAGAGAATTCTTGATAATTAATTCATCAAGAGAATCTTTTAAATTTTAAGTTCCCTTAGTATATTCAAATGTGATTTTCTATACACACAACTTTCTTAGAGTAAATCTATTTTAATATATCTCTATAATTTTTTTTAAAACTGTTATTGTATAATCTTAGAAACTCTTTTACACCTAACAGAATCTGGCTATATGTATATGGACAAGGTAACCTGTGTCAACATGGGAAACAATGTCACCTTTTAAGTATAGCATTTTTATTGCTTTGTGGTTACTTTATCTCACAATATTTTATGTTGAAAATGCTTCAATTTATTATTCCTTTTTCCTCTTCACCAGGAAATAATAAACTTTACATGTTTGGCAGTAACAACTGGGGCCAGTTAGGACTAGGATCAAGGTCAACTGTTAGCAAGCCAACGTGTGTCAAAGGTTTGGGGTCTTTTCTTTTTTATTACTTTAAATATGTAACAAACTATATAAAATATTTTTATATTGATTGTGTGGTCCTTTAATGTCATAAGTAATAAAGCCTTTAGTTCTTTATTTTCTGATATTTGCTTGAATATTGTTGGCATTTTACTTTATATGATACTTAGAAATACTTTTATATGTTAGAGTCTGAAAATCACATTGATTTTAAACCCAAAGGCTACAAAAGAAAGTAATAATTCTACACTACTCTACTTGAACATTTCTTCCTTGTTTGTAAATCTACTTAAATAATATCATTATTCTATATACAGAGAACAAACAATATGTTAGAATTTTGAACTCTGTCTCATTTGTTAGAGTTGTGGACATCATGGTACCGTGTAGTTACTAGTTTTATAAAACACACTTGACCCTGCTATATCTAGTGAGTAGACGTACTAAACAAAACATGAAGACTAGTGGTTGATTAGTACTAGTGTTCTTACAAGAATAACAGTACAAAATATTTTAAATCAGATCTGTCCCAGAAAATAGGGGACATATAATAACTTTACAAAGTTTTTTCACTGTTATGTGCAAAGCTTTTGTTTAGATATAACCTATGAACGTCAACTAAACTTGAATGGCTATGGAGATTCCTTGGGATACGACAATAGCAGTATTCTTTATCTTCCTAGCCAAAATTTCAATTTCAACTCAAAATTTCAGTGTAATTGATCATATTTATGCTATTTATAGGTGTTTTTATGAAACTTTTAAAGTGCTCCACTTGGTCAAAAAGTATTTATTGGGCATAGTCTATTAAACCATTGGGTGTATTCATGGTGCCTGTGATTCTTACTCTCAAATATCTAATAGACTAGCTAACAGGATTGCCTAGACTGTTACATCCTTGAGACCAGGGACTCTGTCTTAGTGATGTCTGCAGCCGCTATGCCAAGCACTTAGAAGGTGTTCTATAAAGGTTTTTTGAATGTATAAATGAATAAATGAAGAACTTAACATAGGTACATGCCTATGATTATTTAACTTAACAGTGTTTCATTGAGTGAGGTAGAAGGTCATAGTGATAACAGATTAGGTAATATAACAGGTTGGTGAGGTGACACTGTAGCAGAATGCAGTGGATCTCAGCACATAGTACTTACTTTTGGAGTTTTAAAAAATATATAGATGCCTTAGCCTTAGCTCAGACCTACTGACTCAGATTCTCCAGGGATGGGACTGAGCTATCTGTATTTTTCTCAGAGCTCCACTGGTTATTATGATGCACAACTAGTTCTGAAAACTTTTGGTTTAGTAGTTAAGAACATCGACTTTGGAGTCAGACAGTCCTGGGTTTAAATCACAGTCCTACCACTTCGTTACCATTTGATTATATTATTTATCATTTTAATAACCATAAAATATTTTAACTGTCATATTTTTAGCTTTAAAACCCGAAAAGGTGAAATTTGCTGCCTGTGGACGGAACCACACCCTGGTTTTAACAGGTATTTTATTTGATCTGTATGATTTCCTGCTTGATTTGAGGACTGAAGTCTCGGTCCAGTACATTTGTGGCTTTGTAAAATTAATAATACTGGTATCTTGGCAACAGTAATATTAGGATTTTTAAAGATGTATCTTGGCAACAGTAATAGGATTTTTAAAGACGTAAGTTTTCAAAGGCAAATGAGATGTAGTATACTCGTTTGCCTTTGAAAATATGCAGATAAATGTTAAGTGACTGAAGGAAAAGCTTATTTTCTTGGATTACATCAAGAGACAGCATCTCAGGGACTGATTGTTCCAGATCTTGCTCTTCCCTCTTCTTTTCTGAAGGAGAGTGGGAATGGCTCCCACCCTTACATCAACCCTTATTGATGTGGGTCACCACAATTTCAATGAAAATCCAAACAGGCTGTGTTTGGCAGGGGGTAGAGGTTGCATGTGTGTGTAGAAATTGACAAGGTGATTCTTAAGTTTCTAACGAAAAGCAAAGGACCTGGAATAGCAAAACAGTTTTGAAAAGAATAATATTGGAGCACTAGCACTACCTGATCTCAAGACTTACTATAAAGCTACTGTAATCAAGACAGTGTGCTATTAGTGAAAAGACAGACAAAGATGAATAGAACAGAATAGAGTCTAGAAATAAACCCATATGTATATACCCAACTAATATTTGACAAAGGTGTCAAGGCAATTCAATGGAGAAAAGGTAGTCTTGTGAACAAATGCTGCGGGAACAGTTAGACATCCAGGTCCTGGCCACTGGCATTTCTTCCTACCTCCTTTTCTTCCCACACAACTTCTTCTGTCTTCAGACTATTCTCACTGCCTTGGCTCCTCCTCCTCACCTCTCTGCCCTCATTCATACTTTTCCCTTGCTGAAATGTCTTTTACTCAGATTCTTATCTTTTAAGATACAGTGTAAGTCTTATTTCTTTCATGGAGCTTCTTGTGGCTATTCAGATTTTTACTCACATGGTTCTCTGAACTGCTTAAAGTATTTCACCAACTCCAGTTTGTTCCATATGTTAAATTGTGTGGTCCAATTCCATGTGGCCCTGTGATGTCTTCCATTTGAAAGCTAATCTCGTTTCCTCAGTTTGATTTCATTTTCTTTAAAAAATATCTAATTTTAAATTTTTACTGATTCAGGCTGATCTTGCCCTCAGTTTCCTTTATAATTTAGTGAGGTTTTAACTTCATGTGCATTTTTTTATTTGATTTTTTCAATTTTTTATGTGCATTTTTATGACACGTTTCACTAATTTTTAATATGTATGTGTTTCAAAGGTTTTTATTACTTTAGAGCTTACTGGCAATGTTTATTATCTAGGCATGATATACTTCTTAATTAAGAAAGTAATTAACAAATATTTATATAGTGCTTCCAATGAGCCAATGCTATTTTAAGAATTTTACGAATGTTAACCAATTTAATCTTCATAATAGCTCTATGAAGTAGGCACTATTATTATCCCTGTTTTACAGATGAGGAAAAGGAGACGTTGAGTGGTTAACGGCAGCTCAGCCAAGGTCACACAAGCCAGAATTTATGCCCAGGAAGTTTGGCTGTGGAGTCCTTTTTCCTAAATACAATGCTATACTACCTCATTTTATTTGTTACTTATTATATCATAGCTTTAATTGAGTGTGGAAGTTAAAGTTAAGGAGCCATATCTCTTTTTTAAAATAGCTCAATTTGGATTGTAAACTTATTTGGAAATTGCTTTCTCCTTTTCTGCTCTGAATTAATCGAGTGCTGCATAAGTAAGAAAATACATTCCACACATTCTGTGCATTTCAGTTGCTACCAGAGCTATAGAATGATTTTTAAAATCTCACAAAAATGTATAGACTTGCTTGTTTTGCTTTATTTTTTAAAACGGAATGAAGTTGTGTACCAAATTATAGGACAATGTCAGGTTAACAACTTTCTTCACTTGTTAATAGAGGAAATATCTGGTATATACTGGCCTGTCTCATAAAGATGGTGACTGTACTATACTGATGTGTTCTTTTTCATGTGCAGAAGAAGGCAAAGTATATGCAGCTGGAGGAAATAATGAAGGACAGCTAGGACTTGGTGACACTGAAGATAGAAACACTTTTCATCCAATTTGTTTTTTTACATCTCAGCATCAGCTTAAACAGCTCTCTGCTGGATCTAACACTTCAGCTGCACTAACCGGTGAGGCTTTTTTTTCCATTTTAAGCTGGGGCATATCCCTTTCCTTTAGACCAGGATATACCAACTTAGTAAATTGAAGACAGCATTGCCCTTTAGTTTTCTTTCATTGACAGTGTGTTTTCAGAATGCATTTAAAATGGAACTTCAAATCATAACATACATTACAATTTTACGCTTATGCCCAGGAAGTTAGAGTTAGATGTAAACATACATTTTGAAGATGTGTTAAATCAATTCTAAGTTATGCTGTTCATCTACTCATTTGATATTCTTAAATATTATCTTCATTGTATGTTCCGAAAGTTATACTTGCAGCTTTAATGAAGTTGCTATCAGAAACATCATAGAAATCTGTTGGATATGTACAGTTAAAATACAGTTTATAATGGTCATTGCATCTCTCTGCCTCCCTATTAGAATCCTACATGAGAAACAACTTTAAAATTTGGAGCCAGCATAAACCTAGTCTCACTGAAGAAGCTGCCAGAGTGCTTCTTTGTCCCAATCTGGAGAGCTGTTTATCATAAGGTGTTGCTCTGGCTGTCAGGAGAGCCAGAGGCGGCTCTGCAGCTCCATCCTTTCAATTCTGTCAGCCGTATAGTTAGCATTTTGACATCCTTCTGTTGGTTCTTATGTTCAATTTTCCTTTTATTTGCCTTATTAAATCACTTCAAAGATTAATTTTTTAAATTAAAAGATAAGTCTTGATGATTTCTTTCTAAAATATTTTTTCCTAGTTTAACTTTTTCTGACATTGAAACCCTGATCAGGAAGAACAGAAATTAACCTGTATTTGAAATGCTATGTATGCTAATATATCTCCTTAGTCTTCGAAGCTAGATTATATGCTTTCAAGTATAAATTATTTTTAAAAAAGGAAAATGCACTCATTTTTTTCTTTCTTTAAATCATCATTTCCACAGTTTCTCAGAGCCGGGTCTTCCAGGCCATTTTAACCTGAGACTTGCCCAAGAGATATCCAGTATGATATCATTCATTTCAGTTGTAGATAGACTGCTCGAAAGGAGGAAACAATTTTCTGTTTAGAGACATTAAAATAAGAAAAAGTTATTATAGGAAAGGATATTCTGTCGTTGCTATTGAGATAAAAATATGGACGTGACTAAAGTGATTTACATCAGGTTATTCTCTGTTCTTTATCATTATAGAAGCATTTCATAATAGAAATTGAACTCTTAGGTAGCTAGCTGGTATAAATATCTTAGTAGTACTTTTCTTTCAAGATGAGTAATTTTTATAAATTAAAAAATAAATGGGCTGTTGGAAATATAATTACTTGATAACCCTGATGCTTTTTAAAATCTTTTTTCCTCATGTTTTCTTTATAGTGGATGGAAACCTTTTTATGTGGGGAGATAATTCTGAAGGGCAAATTGGTTTAAAAAATGTACCCAATGTGTGTGTTCCTCATCAAGTGACCGTTGGGAAACCTATCGCCTGGATCTCTTGTGGATATTACCATTCAGCTTTTGTAACAAGTAAGACAGAATATTTTGGATTACGTTATCTCCCATTTCTAAGTTATTACTAAATTAATAATAAAATGATATAACATTCTACAGTTCCATAGAAGTAACGCCATGGTAGTCCAAGTAATGAAATAATTTGATGTGTTTTAGGCCACAGTATTTATCTACTTCAATAATAAGAGTTTTTTTAATTTCAAACTCTCTCTGACATGTTAACTTTTTAAGTGAATATTAGGTGTATTAGGTATACAAAATTTATGTGTTAGAAACCCTTCTAAGTTTTGATTCTAAAACTTCTTGGACTCTTCTCGCATGAAAAACAAGATCTGTTGGCCACTTTCCTCTAGATCTCCTTGCCTCTGTACTTTGACCTATTCTACTCTTGCCATTATAATTTTCTTTTATTATTTCTATACATGAGACATACTTTCATTGTGGGAACAGGGGTGAAGACTAGATGGAAAAGAAGAGAGGTCAGTATGGGATATTTCTTTGGTGGGACTTTAATCAGCATCCTTAATGTCTCTCATTCCTGGGCTCACTGGCAATCTTTTCTACCTTAGTTAAAATATTTGAAATGTTGGACTCTATTATAGTCTACATCTATGTTAGTAATAATAGGAGAAGTATGATCATGGCTTTCCATCTTATTGATGGTTTTTCTAACAGTAAAATCACCTAGAGGAAACAGTTTTGCGGCCCCTCTTAGACATCTCTCTAAATCTTTGTTTTATACATTTACTCCTTATTTCATGCACTTCAGATTCAGTTTTAGAAAGTGCCAATTGACTCATCCCGGTGCTCCCCAGATTTACCAGTGAATTTCTAGCAGCTTGGTACCAAGAGAGGGCAAAATCCAGTTTGGTTGGTATTGTTTACCACTGTATCAGTTTGTGTCTTGAACAAACTGATAACCAATTAATATAGTTCACTGGGAGAGTGAGTGAATCAATGACCAGTTGATTGTGTTCCTTGGGGCAATATACCACCCACCAACTTATTAGTACCTTTAGGGCTCCTTGAGTTGGTATAGTCTATGCTCACTTTATTCATAAAACAAAACAAAAAAAGGGGGGAAAAAAACAAAAATTTCAAGTAAAAACATTGTCTTATACTTGAGTTTTAATAAAACTGCAGAAATTATTTTTATGGCTAAACTCTGCTTTATCCAGGAGGGGAGTAAGTGGAATTGTTCATCTTTACCCAACAGGTGTTAAATTGAGCTTTTTTGCTTTGTTTTTTGTTTACATGCCTTTTTTAAAGAAAAACAGCATTATTGAAAGATAGCTCACACACCATACAATTCACCCATGTCAAGGTATGAGGAGCAGCAGGAGTTTATAGACAGAGGTAGAAAGAGACTCATCTGGACTGATTTCATATGAGAGGCAAAAGGCATGGAACAAGGGGGAAGGGTGCTGACTCACTGAGTATCTCTTCTGTACTGGTGTGTGTTAAATACCAAATAGAAAACTGTGCTGGGGAAAACTTCACCTTCTGTACAGAAAAATCAAAAAAATCAGCATAGCTATGTTAGCAGTATTTGACCAAGTTTTTCATTATATTACTATTACTATTACTATTATTATTATTATTGTTATTATTATTGTTGTTATTATTATTAAAGTGTAGTTGGCATACAATATTATATTAGTTTCAAGTTTGACCAAGTTTAACATACCTTGTTGTTAGATGTCCCACAGCTTCCCTAAGTTTGCTAGAAGGGCTCTTACACTTCAATAGCAGCTTATGCTCATGGCTAAGATTTATTACAGAGCAAAAGCAACTGGAAAAAGATATGTATTGGCGGAGTGCAGAGAGGTCCAGCATAGGCTCCCTAGTCTCTTCTCTTCCCAGGCCACACAGGACATGCTTTCTCTTTGGCAACAAACTTTGGGGACGTATTATGTGTAATGTCTCTGCCCAGAGAAGCCCACTGTAGTCTCAGGGTCTGAGGCTTTTATGTGGAATGTGATCATGTAGGCAACGTCCTGCCAGCAACTGGCCACAGTATCAGAAACTCAGGTTCCCCAACAGAGAAACCAGGTATACCTGATCAGTGTTGATGTTTGTGCAAAGCAATCTTAGGAAGTTAAAATGGTATAATTCATTGCTCCAGGGTATATAACAAAATCATTGATCACATAAAGAACACTTCAAGGGCCATATTCCCAGGGGTTGGTCAGTGATCAATCATGGTTCTCTTGGAGACATGCAATTATAAGCAACGAGACCTGTTTTGTTACCTCTTTCCTCATACCAATGGTGATATGTTCTGTGTCATTCTTTACATTAGATTATATATTTACAAAAGTTTTTTAATTGCTGCTTTATAGAACTCAGTTCAGTTTATAGAAATGAATAAAAGAAATTCCTACTTTCAAGAAGCTCATAGTCATAGTGTGATAAGTGTAATAATAGAAACAAGTCAATAGTATTAGTATGGACAAGGTAGTAATTAAATGTCAGTGGTTACTTGATAAGAGAGTCTTTCTGGAGGAAGTACTAACTGAGTAAAATCTGTTACCTTAAGACTGTATAATGTATTTACTCACACATGAATGAGTTTTCTGAAACAAGTTTTATAAAAATCAATTATTCATTTATTCAACAAGTATTCATTAAATGCTCAGTGTACTAGACATTCTGCTGGGTTTTTAGAATACCATAATGAGCAAAACAAAATCTATGTCCTTGTGGGGGCTTAATGTCTAGTCATTTTGCTATATTAAGAGGAAGTCAAAGAAATATGATAGTCTTCTCTCTTTTGTGAAATAGCTAAAATAATTTTCTAGCTGTTTATCAATAGTGATGGTCATGAATCTTCATGAAGATTTTGGATTAGAATAATCAAGAGGAAAGGAAAATCTGGTTTTATTTCCTCACCAGACAGTAAAAATATCTCAAGAAAGTTCAAATTTATTAAGACGCCATTTTCTAAATTTTTTATTGAACATGAGAACGTGTACTAAAAAGACCAGTATCTTGTTCATTTTTATGTTGTCATTGATCACTGTTCTTTTCCTTTAATAGTGGAGGGAGAACTATATACATTTGGAGAAACTGAGTGTGGGAAGTTAGGTCTTCCCAGACAGCTGCTGATGAATCATAAAGTGCCCCAGCTGGTGCCTGGAATTCCTGAGAAGGTGATCCAAGTAGCTTGTGGTGGAGGGCACACGGTGGTTCTCACAGGTATGTGTGGACCCTGCTGCTCTGTTTCTTGCTTTCTGTGGTGGCTAATGACAAAAAATGTTCTACATTTTTTAAATTGTGGTAAGAACACTTAACATGTGATTTACCCTCTTAAGTGAGTTTTAAGCATACAGTACCATATTATCTATAGGCGTAATAGATATGGTGAATCTCTAGAAGTTACCTTGCATATCTGAAACTTTATACGCATTGATTAGCAGTTCCTCCTCCCCCCATCCAAGCTCCTGGCAACCATTATTTTAATCTTTGCTTCTATGAGTTTGACTACTTAGGTAGCTCATATAAATTGGCCTTGAATCTTTTTCTGTGAAGATCCCGACTTTTTATTCCTATAGTTAATATACATTTCTGGCCTATGGAAGAATTTCTTAAATAGAAAAAAATGAATCTTGTTGAATGGTTTTCCCTATCATAATTGATATTTTTATGATCTTAACACCTTTACTGGCAGCAAATGACATTGTTTTTAGCTCATTATCAAAGACAAACTGTTTTCAATATTTATATGGAAACATATATGTTTTCCATATATATGCCATATTTATCTAAAATTGTCATTTTTTTCTGAAACATTTTCTTTTGGAGAGGCTCCCTTTCCATACTATTTTCTAAAGTCATTGATAATTCTTTTCTTTGTGATATTCACCATGTATAACTCGGTGATTTCTTTGTGATTTTTATATTCCGTTATAGTAATTTATTTAAAAATGTTAAGATTTTAAATTACAGATAATAAAGTCAGAATATTAATTGTAATGTCACTTTAGTTTCTGAATTTTGTATTTAGTATGACGTTATTTCTCAGGATTCTAGTCAATATGTTAAAATATACTTATGTTTGATAATATGCTTACTAAATCGACATTCCCAAATTTGTTAGGCGTTAGCTTTATGTTAGATGAGTACTGTAGAGGTAATGTAGTTAGGTAGTGAATTGTCATTTTCTTGGTTAAAAAGAAATGAAGTTTCTGAAATTGCCATTTAGTCTTCAGTAACCCAAAGTTGCAAGTGTTCTAGACAAATTTTAAATAATATCCAATTCTCAGATGATATGCTTAATGTTCCAAGGTGATTGAGAAATATTTTATCTTTAGATTTTTCTCTCTTACATAGCTTTTCCTTAACTTCTTTTTCTAGTCCCAGTCATGCTTATTAAGCTATGGTTTCCTAGAATTACAATTTCCAGATGGAATCTTTTTCCAAGTTAGAAATAACTTTTTTTCAAGGCATCCACTCTAAATTTGGAAATAATTTTGAGGTTTAAGTTCTTTTTGAATTTTTGCTGACAAAATGATTTTTTATATATTTTCCAAAATTTTTATTTTATGAATTAAACTTTAAAATTAACCTTTATAAATTACCTGAATATTCATTCTATAGGCAGAAATGCAACTTATTCTTTGTTATGTATTGTCTCTAGTTTGTATAAAGATTATAGAAATAATTTATAAGGTGATTGAGTGGTATTCTGAAGGATACAAATATTGATTACGTAATAACAATGTCATTTAACCATACATTATAAAATATTTTCATATAAAATGAGCACCAAGATAATCCACAATACTTTTAATTATACTTAAAATAAAAAAAAAATACACTTAAGTATGATAGACATTAATCTTCCCGTGGACTTTGTTTTGAGGTTAAAAACCATACTGCCAGAAATTGATTGTTTTCTCCAGAGTTTTGCAGACTTTGGGATCTCACAGACTAGTAAGGTTTTTATATTTTAAGTTTTTTGTTTTGTAGAAATATGAAAACCAACAGATGGTTGCCAAGTTCTGATTTACATTTGGCTAAATATGGACGTTGCAAAAGAAATACCATCTTGTTTTCATCATTATATCATAAAATAAGAGACATTTTCAAATAAAAAAGAAACTCAATTTTATAATAAATTGTATAAACTTATCTATATGGAAAATTTACTACTTTCCCTATTTTTCACATTTCTTCGTGGACCCATGAGAGCTTTATTATGAGTCAGCCCCGGTGAGAAACTTGTATTCTAGAGCACAGTGTGGACAGAAATATTAAATATTTAGTTCTAGGCGAAGAAGAAATGGATCTGAAGAGTGTATTGAACATAGATTGACTAAGTACTGAGTCGAATACCTAAGAGTTATAGAATATAAGACCTTTTAGGAAAGAATAGCTAACCATCTGTTCTAGATTATTCCCTTTACTAAAGGAAAAGGTTTGTATTAGATGTTTCTATGTGGTCCGTCCCCAGCTTTGTTTTCCCTTGTGTCTGTAAATCTGATCTTAAAATTTATTTGGCTATCATTCATTACAATATTACAAAGATAATTTAAATTAGTTCATTGCTGATGAATTTATTTAAACCGTAACATGATAGATTACAAAATACAACTACTAGTTTTAGTGACGGCAGGATTAGTTTCTCTTTAGAATCAGGGAAACAGTGGACCACTGTTGACAAAATGTCAGACTGGAACTTGGGACACACTAAGTGAGGCAGAGTGATAGATGTCATCTTATATGCCATTCACAGCAGTTACCAAAAGAAAAGAAAGTTTTGGTTATAAGATGGGGTCCATAATGAAATCTAGATCCCAAGGAAAATAATTTATCTTAACGTCTTTAGATTATGTTTGTACAAACTTAAGATCTCTACAGGGCAACAAGTTCCTAGTCATGAAATTAAATGTATTCTGTGAAATTAGAGTACTATTGATCTGAAGCCAACTAATAAAATCTGTTCTCCTAATATAGTATCATTTATTAACTTTGAATTACATTGTTAAATGTTACAAAGGTGACATAGCCAAAAAAGTGTTTTAGTTGTTGTATGTAATGTTCTTAGATGAAAGAGTCTTAGGTCATTTTTTTTTAAAAAATAGAAACTATTGTCATCATTAATCATCTAAGCACTTGAAAGTGAACCATACAGGATAAGGAACAAAACTTTTGTAACATGATTCAGGCTGCCTAAATGGCCTAATTTTACTGGCCAATATCAGACAATTCAAGAAACAGAGTAATTGTTGGCCAGCTAGAGATAGACAGTTGTTTTAATTTACCTGACATCTTACTCTTAAGCTGAACATTCAGAACTGGAGGTATGCCATATGATTATTAATTAAACTAAGAGATGTAATTTTTTACACTAAAGTAAGGATCTGTTTTGCCTTTGCATCTGTGTGGCTTCATATCCTTAACACAGCATATTTTATTTAACAAGTAATATCTATATGTCTTATTTACGAAGTAAACATTTTTATTAGAAAAAATAGAAAGCCGTATGACAATAGATATGTGTTCATCAGTATCCTCCACTGTCAAATTAAGATGACTTGATTACATAATTACTTTTTAGAAAAATGTTCTTTACAACTGAATGTCTTATTATGTTTTAAAATCTGCCTGAATGTTTTCTCATTTAATTTTCACAGCAACTCTGTTAGAAAGAGATTATAACATCAAAGGGTTTAAATAACTTGCCTACTTGCCACAGCAAATAATAATGAAGGTTTGGGCTTCTGCCTGAATTCAAAGGTCTGGCTCTTCTGTAGCAGCAGAGGCAATGTATTGAACTCTGGAGAAGTAGACTAATGTAAAAAACACTGTGCTTCCTAACACAGAGGCCAGGGAGACTTGTGTGTCTAGAAGGACAATTTTATCATTACTCATTTATTCTGTTTTTGTGCTTTTCCATTTCTAGAGAATATATGTGCATAATATTTACTAAGTTATTGGAGGTCCTTTGGAATCACTTAAAAATATTAATATAAATGAAAGCTTTTTACCTTCCTTTCATTATTATTGCATTTCCTAGTAAAGGAACTTTACCTGTGAATAAATCTAGCATTATCTACTGTAATTTTTAATTTTAATTCTTATGCAAATTCTCTTCTGAAATTGTTTTATAAAATGGACTATTTTATTAAGCTACGTTTAAAAGTAAGGACTTTATAGGAAACACTTTATTTTTTTATTTAAGGCAGTGAAAGGAATTAGCTTAAAGATAATTGATGCTTTTTAAAGAGCTGAGTGGTAATTATAGGGACATTTAAGGTAGTTCACCAACATATATTTTTAGGAATTCCTTTTATGATTATTATAAAAGATGAAATTAGGCCCATGCCATAATTTGTACAGTCGTGTACCTTGTCATTTTTCTCTTCATCATTGAGAAATGTATACTTAAGTATTAGGTATTCTAATATGGATATTTCTTTCAGAGTTACTTAACCTTCATTATAAAAGATTGAATTACAGTTTTTCTAGATATAATGGTGACAGTGTCTGCTTTCCTGCAATCCTTTTCTTGTATTTGTCCCTTCCCTTTCAGAGAAAGCTGTGTACACCTTTGGACTGGGACAATTTGGTCAGCTGGGTCTTGGCACTTTTATCTTTGAAACTGCAGAACCCAAAATCCTTGAGCCTATTAAGGACCAGAAAATAATTTATATTTCCTGTGGAGAAAATCACACAGCTTTGATAACAGGTACAGATCAGATTTCTCTTATATATTTATAGAACTGGGTATATTTTAGTACAAGATAAATACTAATGTAAAATGAATGTATCTAACTTAAACAAAGGAATTAATAACTGAGAAAATGGAGTTCCTTGTTTAATATGCCCAAATATAAAGTGGTAAACTCCTTTTAAATTTTAATTCAATTTAAAATCAATCTAAATGATCCAAAGATTTAGAATCTCAAAATATGTCAGTGGTGTCAGAGTTAAGACCATAGTATTATACTTTGGCAGAAAACTGGAACCTTTTTGAAATTATACCAATTCAAAGGCTCTTAACTCTACTGAAGCCAGAGGGAAAAATCTTAGAAGAAAGAACTTATTTATATATATGACATACTGTTGAATTGTACACTTGAAATTTATTTGATTTTATTAATCAATGTCACCCCAATAATTTTTAATAAAGATTTTAAATGGAAAAAAGTAATTATCCCTGTTCAATCTGACAGAGCTGCTCTCAAGCTAAGTAAATTCTTATGATGCTTTTGCCACTAAGAGGCGTTTTCAGAAGTGACTCTCCTAATTTCTCCACAGTGATAGAAAGACACCTCAAAGACCACTAAGTGAATACCTGGGTCCTCTAGGCCTTTCACACTTTAGTTTCTCCTTTATCCATGGAGATGCTGAACTGGGGCGACTTCTCAACCTCAGAAACTAGGTGTTGCTAGTGTAGGACTCAATAAAGATCCTTCCCTAAAATGACTAACTCAGTTATTTGTAGGCAATTGATATACTCCACAATTTTAATTGCTTTGGAACAAAAGGCTCTGCAATTTCACTGTTTCTAACTCACATTTCTACCTAAAAGTGAAATAAAGCATTAAGAAGTTAGAAATCATAAGTATTTTAAAATAATCCAGATAGTGGTATTTCTACATTTTTCCCCTTCTTTTAAAAAAGTCACTGCTACGGTGGAGCTCATCTAATGGTAGCTGGTCAGGGAAACTAGAAGTCGGTAAATACAAGGCACTGCCATGCACTGTCCCTTCTTCCCCAAGGAACCTTTGAGGGAGACCTACCTGCCCATTTTCAAGTATTGATGTCTTTGTTAATATTGTGTGAACTAGAACTATATACAATGTAAAGAATTATTATTCATTCATAGTCCTCGAAGGGTTGTTGATATGTATACTTTACTGCAGGATCTTAATCTGTTTCTCTGTCTTTACTGCCACTTTTTCATCAACTCTAAATTGCCATTAATGGTAAATATACAATATTTATTGATCATCTAACATACATTGAGATTACTTGGTTAAACTTTCATAATACCTTTCCTCCTGATGAAAGAAGTTTTAGTACAAATAATTGAACATTAGCTTTGTTTGCCTTTTTGCTCATGAATCCTCCACAGGGAACGGATGTTAGGAATATTTTTTTCTCCAGGATTAATGAGAGATATGTAGTGAGTATGTAAGTTTTTGTCAGTTCCCCATTATAGCCACTGGCTGATGTCTTTAAAAAGCTCTCTGAGTTTGGAAGTGCAATCAGGTGGCTTGGAGCAGAGTTTATTTTTTCTGGATAAAGGTAATCAAATTAAAAAGGCAAACCTTAAAAAGCATTTTGGATAAAGAAGTCGGCATCAAAAAAGAGGAGGAGGAAGGCAAAACAAAGATAAGGAATAGATATGAAGGAAAGAAATAAGTACCTAATAATAACAATTATAACAGTCTAAATTTAGAGTCTAAACACTGGTTATTGCTGATTTGTAGGCAATCTATTTTTGTATGTTGATTTTTGAACTTAACACTTTACTGAATTATGTTATTATTTCTAATCATTTTTCAGTCAATTCTCTTGGATTTTCTTAGAATGCAATTATTTTGCAGTCTTAAGCTAGAAGCCCCCAAATGTGATCATATCATTTCTCGGCTTAAAAACTATTCATTTAGCTTATCATTGCCCTTAAGAAAGAGTTCAGAAATTCTTAATGTGAACTAACAGGATCTTCTGTGTTGTGGTTCCTTCTTACTTCTTCAGACTCATCTCATGCGACTCTCTCCTTTGTTCTAGAGGCACGTTGGTTGTCATTCAGCTTCTTGACTATGCTGTTTTCTCTTGATTCAGAGCCTTTGTCTGTACTGCTGACTCT